TCGTCCCACGCCTGGTGGTGGTGTCTTAGCCTACGTGAATAACAAAATACCAACTACCCGCCTAAGAAATCTTGAAGAGGATGGGAAAGAAGTTCTATGGCTCTTACTTAAACCGCCCAGAACCCCCAGGCCCTATAGCGCGATAATAGTTGTTGGTGTGTACTACCCACCTGGACAGACAACTGAAGATGAAAGAGCAATGTACGAGTATGTCACTAACGGACTTGACAACATTTTGCAGGACCACCCTTCAGCTGGCGTAATTATCGCCGGAGATTTCAACAAAATGAGACTGAACCCACTATGTAGACGTTTCAACCTTAAAAAACCGTACGGGCTCCTACAAGAGGTAGAAATATTCTAGACCAAATCCTTACCAATATGCCAGAGCTATTCACATGGGTGTACCGGAAGGAAAAAATTAGGGGGGCGGAAAGAAAATTGCCCAACTTTTCGGGATTCTGCCCGACTAGTACCAAAAAATTTTTTCCGGATAAATTATTTTGGCCCCCCCCCCGGTCGCCAAAAAAATTTCGGTCAGTGTACCATTTTAGGGGTCAAAAAATTTTCCGGACAACCAATATTTTTCGGAACATAACACAAATTTTCCAAAAATCACAAAATTTGCCAAAAAATTGACTTAACTTTAGACAAAATTGACAGAATTTGTCCCATTTTTTTTTATTGCAAACCAAAATTGCCCGACTGTTGATCGAATATTGCCCGACTGCCCAGAAAACTGGGGGGGCTACCGCCCCCCCCCCCCGCCCGGTACGCCTATGTTAAACACAATATTTTACTCACTCGCTGCGCTCGTTCGTAAAATATTGTTTTCACCACTCGAAGATAAAAGTCATATCTTCGCGCCGCCGTGTAACATCCTCTCTCTATATATACATAAACTATCATAAACTACTTGGCGGTTTCACAAAACCTAAACAACATATAATTATTTATATGCGTGGAAACACAGTAAAGTACATGGTTCAGCATTATGATACCATAACACAATCATTCAAAATACATTGTACTATTTCTCTGCAGCTGGAAATTACTCCTCAAAGTTGTCTGGACTATCTCAAAAGAGGTTTCAAATCAGACGGTTATTATACCATTTATGACTTCAAGACCGACGACCGTATTACAGTTTACTGTGATATGACTTCAGAAGCTGGTTCAGCCTGGACTTTAGTGATGTCCTACGCCTTCAAGAACAGACATATGGATCAGATCGCCAGGAAATCAATGCAACAAGACACTCCTGTGAACGAGCACTCACCTAACTGGAACCTCTACCGCATGAGTCTCTCTCAAATGACTCATCTCAAGTCTCAGTCAACCCACTGGAGATCAACCTGCACCTTTCCAACTTACAAAGTTGACTACACTGATTACGTCAGAGCAAAGTTTACAGACTTTGATATTATGACATTTCTGGGCCGCGGTATTTGCAAGAAAGTTGAATATGTAAATATTCGTGGTCATCAATGTGCACAATGTACATCAAAATGGTGGCACGGAAACAATGTTTACTCCCCCCACATTGATAGCCCTTCCAATGGCTGTCAGTTTGTTCCCACTCAAGGTTCTGCTTCGAGCGAGAATAACTTTGGTTTCTATATCCAGGGAGTCGTCAACAAAAAATTTCGTTGCAGTGCTGGGCCCCTTTCTACAACCAACTGGTGGTTTGGTGGATACTTATAATCATCTTGCTAGTTCAGATTTAAGTTGCATTGTTTGCTTTTCTAAGAAACGTTTGTAGAATGTAATTAGTTTGCTTAATATTAGTTCAGTTTATATCATAATGTACTGCAAAATGTATCATCAAAATAAAGTTTCTTGCATCAGTTTTATTCTCATGGTTTTGCCAACATCTATTCATAAGCTGCATTGTTTGTGTGTTTTCGTTTTAATTTGGCTTTCAACAAAATTTCTTTCCAAATAAATTTACATGAGAAGTATTAGGTCGCTTAGCAATGACTGTGTCGGTCTATACTGATCTCTTTATGAAATAGCCGTTCCTAACCAGCCTAGACCTAGGCCTTCTATTTTTATTTATATTTTTTTAATATTCAGCGCTTTTTCACATGAAAAGACTGGGACTAGGTAATTTGGGGGCGGGGCGGAGGAAGGACACAAGCCTGACGCAAGCGAAAATATAGAAGGCCTAGTGGATTTCCCAACAACAAGGCCAAAACTGCCCTGAAACTGCCCTGATTGCGAAATGCCCAATTGTTGCGTTCTCAAACAGAATTATTTGCAACTTTATAACAGCGAATTTAAACCGATACAGGTAAAATAAACTCATTTATAGTTTAAACTTACTATTTTTATTTGTATACACGTCTAGAAAATCGGGTTTTTTATCATAAAGTTTGAAACAACACTATTTATATATGTTGACAAGGTGTAGCGAAACGGCACAAAGTAATAATTCTATTATTCGCAAGACAATCTACTGTTTTGCTTTGAATAATATATTTGCGAATTGGGAATGAGGAATTTGAAATTAGTGTTCAAATATTACAGATATACCATTTGTATAAACAATGTACGTTTTTATATACAGTACTGTACGGGCTAATAATATATGTATCCGTTTTATTTTGTATATTTTACAAACACAAGACTGCTTCTTGCCAAAATTGAGAAAATATATATATTAATGTACTTGTGTATAAGACAAAATTTCATGAAAGATTCTACTTTTGGTATATATTTTGACTCGTTTTGTTCTTTCGCTACACCTTGTCAACATATTAAATAATAGTGTTGCTTCGAACTTTATGATAAAAAACCGATTTTCTAGACGTGTATACAAATAAAAATAGTAAGTTTATACTATAAATGAGTTTATTTTACCTGTATCGGTTTAAATTCGCCGTTAAGTTGCAAATAATTCTGTTTGGGAACGCAATAATTGGGCATTTCGCAACCAGGGCAGTTTCAGGGCAGTTTTGGCCTTGTTGTTGGGAAATCCACTAGGCCTTCTAGGCTTGCTTCCTCCGCCCCGCCCCCAAATCACCTAGTCCCAGTCTTTTCATGTGAAAAACCGCTGAATACTAAAAAATATAAATAAGACTAGAAGGCCTAGGTCTAGGCTGGTTCCTAACCATTGAAATGAATATACTGGAACGCTACCCTCAGATAAACTGCTTATCTTTCTCGTGAAGGTCAAGGGTGTCAGGACCCGCGTGTTTATGCCTCGCGATTCTCTCGTTCAGGGAGCGAACATGCCGCAATTATTGGATAAAGTAAGAAAAAAAAGCTTAAAGTAAAGTCTACTAGGACGTTTTACATGAATAAATGTACGATAAAAAGCTTTGCGCGCTGATAAAAAAGATTGTTTTTGTAAACTTTAAGTCAGTTTTCAAGAGTAAATGTTCATGTTGA